GCTGGAGCAGGAGGGTGCCCATCACCCTGTGCCCCAAGCCCCCTCCTGCCTTCCTCCTCCTCCCCCTCCCACCTTGCAGCCCCCAACCCAGCTCACCTGGAGGCTGCAGCACCCCAGGGACACCAACCGAGCACCCACGCCGTGCCGGGCCAAGCCCACGGCAGCAAAGCCGAAGCCAAGCACAGCGGACAGAGAAGATGCTGCTACAGGTGGGGGATTTCACTCCCCCGGGGAGGGCAGCCAGGCCCAATCCCGACCCCAGCACCATCCCTAGGGAACAGGATCAGACCCAGCTGTGCTGCAGCCATGGGGCCAAAGGGAAACTGCAGCGTTAATCCGAGGGAAAAGGCATTTCTGCTCCCAAGGCCCCTTCCCCAGCGTGCTGTGTGTCCCCCCCCAGCCCCGGGGGGGTCCAAGCCAGGTGGGGGTGTGTGGTGCAGATGCCACCCAGGGAATTGCAAGGCTCAGAGCAGCCCTAACCAGAGCCAGGCCAGCTGCAGCAGCCCAGAAACTCCCCTTGTCCCTTGGGATTTGTCCTGGGGGAACAGCATCACCCCTTCCAGCCCAGGAAAAACTCAAACCCAGCCTCAAGGCGCTGCATAGCCCCTTTATAGCAAGGCAGAGAGAGAGAAATCCCTGAAAAAAAGCATCTTTTCCCTCCTCCCAGGGCTCCAGCTGGTCCCCGGCCCATCTTCGCTCCCTCCCCATCAGATAAGGGGAGCAGCACCCAAAATTGCTGGCAGACACCTCGGCCAGGAGCCGGCAGCCTAGGGTTAATTCCTCCCATACCTGAGCTGACATTTCAAAGCCATGAAACAATTAATGAGATTCCTCCCTTAACCCTGGAAGTTACAATCAAGGAGAGGGGTCGAGGGGGGGCTCCCAACCCCCAGGGTGCTGTGCTGCTCTCCCACCCATGGGCGCACACAACCCCACCATCTGCCTCCAGCCTAGAGATGGGGAAAACATTACAAATGTCCTTTTTTTTAATTATTATTTATTATGTAAAAAGGGTAACTTTTATAAAAAGTTTATAAAGCAAGTACAAGGCACGTTCGCAGAAATTCACCTTCCTGCACAAAAGGTACGAAACGTTATACTCTAGTATAGAGCTCAATACACGAGGCCGCGGCCCCAGAGAGTTTGGTTCATACTCGAGGATGTCCCCTCCCTCCCCAAAACCCCCTAATCCCCCCCCCCCTTCCCCGATCCCATT